TCCCGCCTAAAAAAGGAAAAAAAAAATTCTTGGATCTGGCAACGAATATCTTCGAGATGATCCCCAGCCAAAAGGTTTTTGTATTGCAATGCTACATACTACATAGCATCTATTTTTTTTTCAGTTTTTTTTTTTTTTTTTTTTTTGGGGGTGGTGGTGGTGGTGTGGGAATGTGGGGGGGAGGGGGATCTGGAGGCTCTGGACCGGACATCCAGACCCAGACTGTCTGCTTTGCGGCCTGGACTTCCCGATCGTAGCCATGTTTTGAATGTTGACCTCGTTTTTGGAGCCCATTTTCCCACAAATGCTTTTGCAAAACCTGCGTGTTTTGCGACACACTTAGCAGAAATGGACACGAAGACCACCGCTCAGTTCCCAAGTTAGGGTTCTTCTTTAGACGGGGAGGAACATTTTCTGGAAGTTCTGGACAATTGTTTAATCTGTGGAGTATAAGTTTTGACTTTTTGTGGGGGGGGGAAGGGGGGCGGCGTTGAAGAAGTTTCAACTTTGAAGGGACTGACAGTCACTGACTCGTATGTGCGACTTTGAAGAAGAGATGCAACTGCTGCATATATTTTTAACACTCGTCTTTTGTCAATTTGTGTATGTATTTCTTGTGAAGGGGTACGCTCATCTTCTTTTTATTGTTCCGACTTTGACGGGTACACCTTTCATGTCCGTCCGTACTGTTTTTTCCGCATTTCGGTTTTCAATACTTTTTTTATTGTTTTTAGGTTTTAAATTTTAAGTATCTGTTCATTTTTGGTTCTTTTACCCCAATTATCTCTTCGTAATGTAGGCTACTGATGATCCAAGCTTCAAGCCAGCAGGTGGAAGAGTAGGAGAGGATGACATGGACTACGATACAGATGAGAAGTCGATGGCTGTGCTGCGGCGTAGACTCCGCATTGCTGTTGACACCTATATGCGCTTGAAAAGGTATGGGGGGACCGTTTTGAGAAGCCTTTTTTTTTCTTTTTTCTTTTTTTTAACCACCACTACCTGTCTCATATGTAGGGCCATGGGCCTCAAATTCAAATTCGGCCGCCATGCGCTGTTGATGAAAAATATCGATGGCAGCGTGGCGGCTATTTTTCAGGAGTAGGCTACTAGATGCCCGCGGCCGACATATGGGAAAGGTAGCGGTGGTTTAAAGAGAAGCCTTCTTGCAGCTATGGTCCCCCAACTTTGAGAGTCGTTGTGGCAGATAGGATCTCAATATTCTTGAAGTGGCCCTGTGACGACTTGCAGGACAGGATATCCTGTGGGCTCAGGAGGTTTGGCAGCGATGGCCCCCGATACTGTTTTCCGGGTTTGTAGTGGTGGGGACCACTAACTCTGGGATGATTTCCAGTCCGTGCGTGTGGTTAGAACGACCAGTACATCTGGTCTGGGTATTATTTTCCCATCACCCAGTAGTGGTTTAAGCCTCATCTCTCGTAGGCTGTTGTACTGTTTTCCCTGGCGGTTTAAAGATTAAATTACATTAAACGGCTTAAACCTATATTACCCTGTAATATGTAGTGGTTCTTCATTGCCCTGTACACAGTGAAAACCTCCATTACCCTGTATATAGTGATGGTTTGAACCTTGAATCTCCATCGTGTTTCCAGCTATTTTTTCAGAGTTGTGGCTTGCACGCTGGTGGTGCCAGCCAAAAGGAGGCCCGCGCCTGTTCACTTTTCTTTGCGCGCAGCGTTTTTCCAGCCCCGGCGAAAAAATGCCTCAGAAATACTGGTGGTTCAAACCTCCATTACCATGTCCGGAGCAGTGATTTAAACAATCTATTACCCTGTCTGTTAAGTAGTGGTGGTTTAAACCTCCAGTGCTTGTTACCTCGACAGCGGTCATATTGGACACGTGTGGCCAATCGGAACTTGACTTGCTGGTGCCTGCTGGGCGAACTGGAAGGGTGGGCCATTGTCTGGAGCAGCCTGGTTTCGGCAGCAATTGGCAACTACTGCAACCTATTTTTTTTCTCTCTTTCACGCCTCTGTCGTCTTATTCGGGCAATAGCATACTTGCGGCGCCTCACGTGCACGCGTGGCACGCACGTGCGGGGCAAATCGCATGTGCATGCATCCATGCGCACGCGGTGCCCTGCACCCCCTTAAATAGGGGTGGAAGAAAAAAAACGGGAAGGGAAAGGTATGGTGGCACACCACACGCCTTCCCTCATAAAAATTGGTGCTGTGCATGACAGCTGCCCCCCCAAAAAATGTGTGTGTGTGTGTGTGTGTGTGTGTGTGTGTGTGTGTGTGTGTGTGTGTGTGTGTGCTTGTTGATAATGAATACATCCTGGTCTTATACATATGCCACAGTGCTGCATTCTGATTTTGGACGACGGGTACTGCTTGTAATGTCTTTTTGTTTGCTAGTAATAGGAAATGAAAGCACGCACCCTCACCATGACTGTGTCGAACGTGACACTCCCTTGTGTACTTTGACAGCATTCTGACAGTGCGACGTTTTCGACTCAGCTCACGACATGATTGCAATCAGATACATATAAGGGCGGCCATAATTGCAGTTATATACATCAATTCCAGACAAAGCCGAGTTTGCATAGGATTTGAGAGAGGGACAAAGAGCTAACAGCTACCTGATGAGCTACTGCGCCCCGTCTCTGTATTCAGACTATATTGAAGGTCAAAAAAATACAGCCATGATGAGGGTGTGTTGTGTTGTTTCTTCTTTCCCTTTTTCATTTTCACAGGTGCGTTGTGAGGTAGCATTGTGTTTTGGATACGAGATTCTTGGTAACATTCCAATTTCTGACACCGCTCATCATGAGTGTATGCAACCCGAAAATTAGTTTTCATACATTCAGGGCCTCGATCGAAGTTCACGAAACCGTGAAATTGGGATCTTCGAGCGACGGCGAGTTGTCCTTGAACGGGATAATTTTTCGGTGTAATCCAGTCGTGATGAAGGCGTGTGGAGTCTGGAAATTGAGCCGGTCTGACCGCAACGAGCAGACACGACGCGATCTATCTATCGCTCCACCAGGAATGTATGAGACATGGATGTTCGCTGGATACATTTGAGGGCACAATGCACCCTCGCCGAAGTTTGTGAACTTACACGAGGACGCATTGTGCCCTTGAATGTTCCGTTGTACCTATCAGGTTGGATAGTGTATAGATAACACGACACACACACGCTCGCACAAAAAAAAAAATAGGTGCGTGCACCGGAAAGTAGTGCGGGGAACAGTACGCGCTGCACCTATGCGGGTTTTGTGTGCGATGTGCGCGGGTGTGCACACATCTTGGATCTGCGCAGCGCGCACCCGCACCGCACAGCGCAGTGCACTGCTGCACTGCAAGTATGGGCAATAATAAAATGCTGGATGCATTGTTGGTAGGTAAGAATGCAGAGGTCCTGGGTTTGATCCCTTATATCTGGTGAAGCAGGCGATAACAGAGAGTGACCCACTGGCGACTCGTCATTAGTAGGTATGGGAATGCATGTTGACCCAATGCATGCCAGGCACTGCTTATGGGGGGGCATGATTTACACTATTTATGGCTGTTAATGGATGGGACTGCAAATGTCGAATCAATTCACTTGTCGGCAGTGGAAACTGTTCTTCCTGGGGAATTTCAAGTTTGTCGTCACCATATTGAAGGGCTTATCGGTGACTTGAGTGTTGTTGCTAACTTGTTGGTAGGTTGTTTTTCAAATATCCCTTCCATCAGTTTGGTTCACTTGCTTAGGAAATTTGGAGATGATGAGGTCTCAATCATGCTCACTCTTCTGGCTTGTTGAAGTTTTGCAGTGAATACACGGCCATCGTCTGGGAAGCCCTGGAGTTGGAAGACACCATCAAGAATATTGGCCTTGGCCATGCCGGTGACTGGTACTTGGAACTCATTTCTCATGCGTGTACTTCTTCTTCGCCTTTTTCTTCCCTTCTTTTCTGAAATTTGGACCATTTCTTGTGATTTATTGAGCGCCGTCCTTGTGCAGAGGCCATGCTAATTTGGCCTGCATTCACTCCTCTCTCGATTCCGTCTTGTCGACTCAAAACTGTCTGAGCTAATATTGTCATGCCAGCTTTCTCCGGCACTCGGCCAGTTTTCGCGTTTCGTGCGATGTTTACTCTGTTCTTTTTTTTCCCTCTCTTGTATTAATTTTGTTTCTCTGCTGTCGTTTCTCGCAATCTTGGCTTTTGTTACACTTCTGTTGTTCATTATGTGTCATTTCGTTGGGTGGTGTCGTTTCACTTAGCTTTCATATGGGATTGTTGGTGAACTCTGCATGCGTGTTATGAATCATGATTGCGAGGAATGAGCCCTCGCGGGGCCCTTATCAGACTTGCAAGTGTTGTGGGCCGCGTCCTCCAACAAGCCTCGTGCCTGCCCTAAGTGAAGGCGGGCCTGAATATCCACGTGAGGCCTATTTTTGACACTTTTCCACATGTGGGGTATCAGACAGTTGCAGCACGCCAGTTGGTTACAGAACAACGTGAGCGTCAGGCTCCTTCCAGAAGCAAGGGCTGCGCTGTACGGTTGGGCCCAGGGCCCAGGCAGTTGCGCCCTGGGCACACGCAGTGTGAGGCCGACACATCACGAACTGGCCACGAGCCAATGAGAAAGCGGCATTGCTGTCACTGCGAACACTTGGAGGCTGGGTGACTAACTGCGTGAGGCCCAGGCCAGTATCTGAAACTGGGCCTGGGCGCAGACACTTCGGGCCGGACTGAAGCTACTAGGCCCCCCAGACGCCTGACCAGGACAGCCAGCAGCGGCACACTTTCCATAAAGGAAAGTGTGAGCCCCTGGCGCAGGTGTTTTGGCCTTGGCAGGCAATGCGGACACGCTGCTGTGTTGCTGCGCTAGTGTCTGCATAGGGCGCTGCAGGTCGGACATGCGCACAGGCACTGAGGGGAGAGGGGCGCTGCCGAGGCAGCCGGCGCACGGCAGGTGATGGCAATGGTGGTCTTCGGGTAGGAGGCGCATGCAGAGGGGAACCAAGGGGTGATGAGGGGAGGAGAGAGAACATACCTGGTGTATGCTGGTGGTCGGCATTGGTGTTGACATCACGTACATCGGTCTTCGACTTCAATGTGATCCAGTCACATGAATGTAGAGTAGGATAGATAGGCTGAGTAGCGTAGGCTGGGCGCCAGAAAGTAGGAGCGACATTGGATACAGTGTTGGTGTGACCAGAGAGCGTCGGCATTGGCACTCGAGTTCATTGTATTGCTCTTATTCGGATGGTATCTTGGTGCATTGTGCTCTCTGCTTGGTACATGACTATCTGGACTACTTCGTGGTTTTGCAACTTGGTCTCCTGTCTATCGCTCTTGCTCATATTCCTTGCATGATAGTCTTTTTCAGAGAAAAAGCTAGGCTGGTCCCCAGGCAGCCCAGCTGGGGGAAGGTCGCCCGGGTACCCTTCCGGGCAACCCGTGCCAGGCAGGGCCCGGGCAGGGCCGGGGCAGTCCCCGCAGATAATATTTTATTCTTCAAAAATTCAAAAAAATCTGGAAAAAAAACATGTTTTGTAAAATTGCAGTACAAGCAACTTTTGTAGGCTGGTCCCCAGGCAGCCCGGCTGGGGGAAGGTCGCCCGGGTACCCTTCCGGGCAACCTGTGCCAGGCAGGGCCCGGGCAGGGCCCGGGCAGTCCCCGCGGATAATATTTTATTCTTCAAAAATTCAAAAACATCTGGAAAAAAAACATGTTTTGTAAAATTGCAGTACATGCAAGTTTTGTAGGCTGGTCCAGGCAGCCCGGCTGGGGGAAGGTCGCCCGGGTACCCTTCCGGGCAACCCGTGCTAGGCAGGGCCCGGGCAGGGTCCGGGCAGTCCCCGCGCATAATATTTTATTCTTCAAAAATTCAAAAAAATCTGGAAAAAAAACATGTTTTGTAAAATTGCAGTACAAGCAACTTTTGGCCGAGGGTCCCCTCGAAATTCCTTATTGATTTTAAGATAAAAGTAAATGAGGAGAAATAAGGGAAGAATCACCCTTTTAAACCCCTCTAGTCACTGTTTAGAGTAACTTTATACCCCCCGAACACTCCTGGGTGACCCACCACCGAAATGGTAGGTAAGGCCGGATTCTGACTGCTCAGGCCGAGCGCAGTCCTGCCCTGAAGTCAGTTTCTTTGTTTTAGGGATTCTTCTCTCTTTTGTGACCCGCCTGGTTTTGCCGGGCGATCCCCCCCGGCCCAGCTGCCCCGGGCATGCCTGGCCGGGCGACAGCCCGGCCTAGAGAAAAAGAGAATTATATCTTTTCCTCAATGGTAAAGACAATTCCCAATGATGCCCCTTTGCCTCAATTGTGAAACAATTCCCAGTCACCTGATGAGAAGGGTAAGCGCTTGCTGTCATGCATGGGGTTGATGATCTTGCCTAGTTTTCTGCCCTCTAACAGAAAGTTTAGAAATATAAAGTTGATATAACGAGCATATTTGCTGTCATTAATTTCATTGACCCAACTTTTGTGATTGCCTGTTTTCTGTTGTTGATTCCCCTTCTTTTTGTTTCCCCCTCTTACTTGGCTGTTGAGTCACTGATACATGCTCAATAGAGCAATGTATATGGAGCCAAGGATCCACAAAGTGATGAAAAGGACTCAAATGGACAATGCAGCGTCAGCAAAGCATCAACAAACAATGTACATCCAGATACATACAAAATAGCACAATAGCGCAGCGGAAGACTCAAAGATATGACCTGACCTGTCAGATACTGATGCGGCACCCCATCATACACCGCACATGTGAGAGAGAGGGGAGGGACCGCATACATTGAAGAAAGGTCCCTCCTTGAGCAAGCACATGGGGAGATACCACGGGTGAGGAGATGGGGGAAGAGGCGAGACGAAGATGGAGATGAGGGAGAAGACCAAGATAAAAATAGCGAAGTCCAAAAATAGTCTTCCTTCTGAATGTCCAATCAATGTCTGCCTCAAAAATGTCGAATCAGATCCTGGGCCTGAAAGCCTGATGTAACCTCTGCCTGTAACCTCTCTCTCTCTCCCTCTTTAAAGAAGAAGAAGAAGAAGGAAGGAGGAAGAAGAGGTGGAGGGCGAGACTAACAAGAAGGAGATGTCGTCCTCCTCGCTGTCTCACCTGCAGGTAACTGCCGCCATGTACTAACCGCCATCGGCATCTCTGTGCAGGTCGATGGCGTGGAGCACAGCTATGGCGCCCAGGTAAGTACCGCCGCTGCAGGTATGGCCTCCGCCTCACCTCCTACCTACGCATCTACCTCTAGCGTAGCGCTGTGTCGCGCTGCTCCAGCAGCGTGTCGCCCAAGAAGTGAGCTACTCGCGAACTGTGTGTCTGCCCTGGCCTGGCCCAGCTATAAGTAGCGCTGGGGCTCGCAGGTAAGCCTCTGGTCCTAGGCCTAAAACGGCCTGCCTGGGTCCCTACCAGACGTCCAGGCCCTCCCTGCTGATGCAGCAGGGAGTGTCCGCTATCGGACAAAAGTGGACCTGGCCTAACGTACCAGGCCGAAAACGTGGCGTTGTCCGACCAGACCCAAGGTCTGTTCGGACGAACCGAACTGCAAGTCCGAAACGATGTCTGAACAAACAAAAATAGGGCAGCAAATAAAGAAATAAATGAATGCTTCCTCAAATCGAAGATTGCGGCCCTAAGGCCGGCCGTGGGCCTCCAGGGCGAGCGTCTGATGGGCGTGCGGCCTGGGCCCTCCCAGTAACTGTCGGGCCCCCAAAACGGGGCCCGTGAGCAGGCTCAGCATGTAACAATTGATTCCCAATTCATTCCATTAATCTCATCAAGGCCAGCCTCCCAACGAGGTGATGAAACTCTGACGAAAAAAACAGTGTCGCAGTCCCTTGTTTGTTGTCCTCTTCTCTCCGTTTGCCTACGGTCCACCTGACAGTTCTTTACGATGATTGTACGCGAGAGGCACGGTGAAGGGGGAGTGAAAAGAAGAATGCCAAAAATGACTGGTTTCAATGTGTGCCCCTCATGTTTGTCTTGTTTTTCAATCTTTACTGTTTGTTTCACAAAGTGACCTCTTTTAGTTCATAGTTATGTGGCAATGGGCCTTTCCACACCACTCTCCAAATGTGAACAAGACAAAAATGTTGCGGGTGCGTTGGGCCGTGTTCTAGCAAGTAGTTCAGTCTCATTTATTTTGCACATTTCGCGAGTGGTGTGGCGATGCCTAATATATACATGTCCCCTGAAACATTATGCCTCATCCCCCCTGTTTCTTGTCCTCCTCTCCCCGTCTGGCTGCACTTCATTGGGCAGTAGTTCTCGGCAATGGTATGTAATCATTTAATATAGGTCAGAAAATGCTTCTTGCCGGGTAAACATTTAGTTCAGATTACAAAATGGCATCGGCAATAGTCAAGTCAACCATTGCGCAGAGGAAGGGGGTTGGGGGGGGGGGTGTCTTGAGCGCTTTCTGTCATGCATGGGGGTAAACATTTAGTTCAGATTACAAAATGGCAATGCTTATTGCTAGTTCACGGAGAAGAATGACAATTGCAGCGGTGCATTGGTAATTCAGTGAGGGGCTTGATTTGCCGCAATGTACACAAGTATGAAGCTCTGTAGTGCGGTTGCAATTGCTGCTTCTGAAACGTTGACACTGTTTGGCAGGCAGTTCATCTCCACTTTGAGACCCCCAAGAACAGGCCGGTTTGCGCATTTCCTCGATTCTGCGGGTAGGTCTCACAACTCCTCTCATGTTTTTTTTTTTTTTTTTTTTTTTTTAATATTGTTAATTCTTTTTAATTCTTTTATCAATTCCGAATGATTTTGTTTTTTTGTTTTTGGTTTTCCTGCTATTTTGCTTTTCTTTTCCATTTCACCTGCCTTCTTTTTTTCTTTTTTTTTTTTAAACCTTGATGTGAGTGGCATAGTGCTATTTTTTCTTTCCTTTTCAGAGGCAGTTATGTCTCCTCGTCGACATCGTCGTCCTCCTTTCCTCATCAGCTCCTCTTCTTCTCCTCTTCTTCTCCTCTTCTCCTCTTCTCCTCTTCTCTTCTCCTCTTCTCCTCTTTTCCTCTTCTCTTCTTCTCCTCTTCTCCTCTTCTCCTCTTCGCTCCTCCTCCACGTCTCGTTGTCCACAACTCTCCTCCTGCTCTCCTCGCTCTTCACCATGACCCCCCGCTCTCCTCCATCTCTCCTCTTCCTCTCTCCTTGCTTTTTTTTTGGTGCATGTAGCTTTTTTGTTTTGTGCACTTAGGCAATGATGTTAGGGAATCACGTTCTGTTTTTGTAATCGGGGAAGGTGCGCTAATAGGTGTGTCCTACTTTTCCTACCCACACAGCTTTTGAAAGGGAAAAAAAAACGAGGGATACGGACTGGTCTGCACAGTGCAAACACCACACCACACTGATTGTGCGGTTCTGCGCCGTAAGGTACACTACGGCATACCTGCAGGTGCTGCGTGCTGTGAGTCCTTGCAAGTATGCTCTTAACATTTAAGGTTCCACGTGCCTGAATTCTTGGATCTGGACCGTGGATCGCGATCGCCAGAAACATTGCATCCACGACGGGGGCACCATCAAATGTGCAGAGATTTGTTTAACAAGCATGCAGGTATTGACGACATGCTCCCCTTCTCGACAGTGAAGGTGTCGACCGATGGGGGGAGAGAAGGGAAAAACAGCCGCACTTTGAGCTGAGTTGTGGTTTTCGACTCGTTTCTTGCCTGGATTGCCACTGTTCGCAGAATGGTTGTGGAGGTGTGCTCTGAGACCATTATCTGTACAGCTGTTGGCGATAATCCTGGCGGTGATGTCTATGGCCATCATTTTTGCGGAAGCAACGATAGTTTCAAATGGACGACCGGATCTCTCTCTTTTTTCAATACTCATTCGCAGCGCTAAAAATAGCGGTGAGCTCATCATACAGGTTGGTAAACCGGTGTTGCCTTTAATCGCTTCCAGCGGAGTTGATCCATTTACTTCCTTTTCTGTTTTTCTCTCTCTTTTGTCAAGCGTGTGGGAACCTTACTCACTTCTCCTTGTCTGGTTCCCAGTTTCAAATGTTCCTTGGCTTCTTCACTCCCTTGAAAGTTATTTAAAAAAAGGCGAAAAAAAAAAAAAATTGCCTTCTGAAAATTTGGGCCATGTCCTCCGGATATGAAGGAAAACCTGTGGCTGTTGGGATCATCAATCGATCCGATGAGTGGACTGAAAAAAAAAGTGGCAGGCCTTCTGATAAGCTGAGAAGGGGGAGGGGGGGCCCTTGGGTGAGAGAAGCCTCTATAAAATGAGAGGGGTGGGTTGGGAGGGTGGTTGTAGGGTGAGAGAAGGGAGGTGTTGCTCCATTTTTTGTTGTAGCGTTGAACTCTTTCCACAAATAGAGTTGATTGAACTTGATTCATGTGAAGCTGTCAACATCTCAGATTGACAAAATCACAATATTACTAGGCTACCAGCCGGGCCGCACGGGTCACCCTATTTTCCCGGATAGCCCGGCCGTGCAGGGACCAGGGAAGGTCTTAGCATAAAAGGGAAAAAAAAAAACGAAAACAAACTATGTTAGCAGAAAAATAAACTGAACAACTTTTGCCTCAGGGTCACATCGAAATTCTTTACCATATTAAAAATAAAAAATAAAGTTATAAACTAGGAAGATTTTCATGACCGGCCGGTCACCCGGGCGTGATGCCCGGGGGGGTCTGACGCCCGGGATACCTGGGCATGGGAAAAAAATAAATGAAAATTGGCGATGGGGTTTTTCTGCGCTTTCTGAGAGGAGCCCAAATCCGGGCTCTTTTTTTTTTTTGAGAGTTGGCTGTCAAGAGGGAAGAGGGGGGGGGGGGGGAAGGGGAGTATAAATGAATTTTGAAGGGGCTAAAGGGGTTTATAAGCCTTAACTGTGTCTTTTTTATTTTTAATTTTAATTTTAAATTGTTTTTTATCTTCAGTCCCGTGAGGAATTCTGATGTGACCCTCAGCCAAAAGTTGTTTGTATTGCAATTCTACACAACATTTTATTTATTTATTTATTTATTTTTGCGCAGGGGCTGCCCGGGCCCGGGCCCGGGAGTCATGCCCGGCCGGTCACCCGGTCGCCAAACCGGGCATGACATCGGGGCCCGGGCGCCCGGGAGATCTCCCTAGGTTAAAAATAATTTTTATTTTTTAATTTTATTATTAGTTTTTGGCCCGGCCGGGCAAGTGGCCCCGGACCACTCTGGTAGCCTAGCAATATTACAGATATATGTGTGAAATTGTGAGCAGTGAAAACTTGAGAGACGTGGGCTCCGTAGTCCTGAAAGATACAACTGATGGCTTTGTCTTGTTTTCATTGTGTTTTGTGATTTACTCAATTTTACTGTAATTTACATTCTATGGTTTTAGAATTGTGGGATTACCATTTCTGAAATGGCAAGCAAAGAATCGGAAAGGAAAATGTGAATGCTTGTCGGCCGTTTCTCCCGTGTGTTCTGTGCATGTGCATGTGTGTGAAAGGCAGCAGATGGTCGGTGGGTGGGTGTGAAGGCATGTGGCGATGTATGCGCATTATAGAGTGACTCTACTGTCCATTGCCTAGTTTCACATCTGATCGTTTCTCCTCCCTTGTGCACTCTCTCTGGGCGTGCTCACATTAGCTCTATCTTAAATGTGTCTGACCACATTTATGGCCAGGCTTGGATGTAAATGACTGCAATTACGTCCACAAGTAACGAATGTCCTAGTGTGAGTACACCCTCTCTCTCTCCCTTTCTCTCTCTCTCTCTCTCTGGATGGCAGGTAGTTGGGCTATGGGGTTGGAAGGAGAGGTCATGTTGGAGTCGTTTCACTGACAGTTTCCGATGTTGGGTCTGCTCTTGCCGCAGGTTCTGACGTCTGTACCCCTGGTGTATATTTGCGTTTGTACGTACTACTCGGTCTTCAGACTTGGAATGTTCAGCTTTTACTACCTAGTTCCCAAAAACACGGATCCGTACAGCCTCCTGCTGAACGCCTCGTAAGTGTTTTTTTTTTTTTTTTTTTTTTTTTKTTGGAACATTTCTCGATTTATGTTTTGTCATCCTTGCACAGGGGTATGCAAATCTTCTGTGTATCGTTTCAATTTTAATGGAGGACATAAGTGGTTGTTTCTTTTCTTTTCTTTTCTTTTCTTTTTTGGCTGTTTTTGGGGCACCTCGGAAGCTCCGTTCTCCGCGTTGTCTCCTTTTAGCAGAGTATTTTGTCCTTTTGTTGGAGTATATTACTATATTGCCTGTTTGTTTTGGTATTGTGTCTTGTTCCTAGACAACGTTGTAAATGTCTTGGATATTGATCATATTATTGGCTATGGTCCCGATATGTTAAAGACTTGAAAGTTGATTAAAGTTCATTAAACATGTTGGGTTAGTCCGAATAAAAAATATATCTGCATCTCAACACTGTTGAGAGTCTTGAGACACATTTAGAATGTTGTGTAGTGGAGCGAGGCCCATTTGCTTAGCATGGTGCATGTGGTCTGGGCAAGGTCCTGGGCAGCCTCAGCACAAAATCAGAAATATGAAAATGAAAGATGGAAAAAGAAGCCGTGTAGAGTTCATGGTTATGCCAGACCTCGACCTGACGTCCGGAAAAATCCGGGCGTCTGGAATCACGAACAAAAAAAAAAAAAAAAACATGTCACACAAGGTTCACAAATGAGGGGTTAATTGGGCCATACCTACCTTGGCAGTACGCAACCTGTACCTCTCAGACTGTGTGTGTGTGTGTGTGTGTGTTGTCATATTCGCTACACACTCCATAAAAGCATGACTGTGCCAGACTGTTTTGTCGGACTTTCACCGACTCGTCAGTAGGTTGAACCCTGACAGTCTGCCCAGGATGCATTTCCCTGATGGAAAAGGACTCACCACATTGCCCACAGTTAGCGATACCCATCCCTGAGAGAGAAAAGTGGTCGACTTTACTGAGTTTACTCACACCAACCCTCTGTGCATGTGTGTGTGTGTGTGTGTGTGTGTGTGTGTGTGTGTGTGTGCGTGTGTGTGTGTGTGTGTGTGTGCGTGTGTGTCTTTAAACAAAACAGAATTAGCCTCAGCCCGGTTCTGTCTAGTGAATTGAAAGGGCCAGAAGAAAACCTCAAATATCGTTTGGGAGTTGGCATTAAACCTCCGAAACAAAGCAAAAAAAAAAGCCCCTTTCCGGATTGACCTGACTGGACGTCTGGCCAGACATCCGGACCCGCACCATCTGGACAGGGATCTGGACAGGGATCCGAACATCCATATCGTAACCACGGTGGGATTACGAATGAAACAAAATTTGCCCGAGGGTCAATTTGTAATTGTTGTTAAACGAAACGAAATATTGAAAAAAAGACGCACCCTTTCAAGCTCTATCCTGTAGGCCTCTCTGTAAGCCCTGTCTGTAGAGTCTTTACCCCCCCCAAACCCCGGGTACCCAATTTCAGTCCTATCCGCGTTGATCAACTTGTTTACTCTTTTAATCCTTCGAGAGTGATGGCTTTCCAGCAGTTCATTTATTGCTGTACTTGATTGATTATTTGAGGAGGAAGGGAGAAGAAGACGAGGTTGGAGAGAAGACGACAGGTGGATAACATTGGCTCTTCTTCTTTTTTCCCCTCCGTCTCTCTTTTGACTTCTTCTTGAGTTCAGCAGTCTTGCGTTGTGTCAGGGCATACTCGCACGAGGACTTTTTCTACTAAGCTCTGGACGTGATTCCAGTCAGATGCATCCAGGTCTGCCTGTAAATGACGGTCAGATACATTTAGCGAAGTGCTAGTGTGAGTATGCGCTCTAGTTTGAGTTTTCATACGAGCAGAGGATCATAGCACTGTCTGTGTTTGTTGTGAGTAAAGGCACTCGATGCCTTTTGTCGGGTAGTCGTTGCAGCCCTTGACTTTCTTTTGTTTTGCTGGGCTTTTAAACCACCCACTCCCACGATGGAAAAAAAACAGTTTTCCCAAAATGGTCATGAGCAAATCTACGGAACTGTATTTTTTTTATCACAATTTCTTTGTGCTAAAATATCTGAGTGCAAAAGATCGTCAATGTTCGCACCCAGCTGCCGGCCCCATCCGGCCCCCCCCCACCACCACACCCACATTCCGACAAACTCACTGGTGCTTCAATATCAGAACACTGGGGGCAGTGGTGGCTTAAAGCGCTCCGTGCCTTATGTCCTGCGAATCATGCTCATCTGGAGTTGCTGTTGCCCTCATAGATGGTGATGATCTTGCCAATGTTTTCGGGCTCTCACAGGGAGTCAGAAACATGCAAGGAGTAGACATTCTACCTTTGATTTCATTGACCCAAGTCTTGTGTTTCTGTATGTATTGGACCTTGTTTGTTGTCACATTCATTTTGCTTTGCAGCCTGTGCTGTCGGTTCATTGCACCGATGTCTTACAATTTTCTCAATCTTATCCATGTGGGAGACACCACGTTTGCAAAGGTAAATATTGTCCGTACTCTGTGTGTATTTGTCCTGAAAGTTGCCCTAAATACAGTTATTGGAATTGCAATATCATGTATTCACACCACGTTTGATGTCACATACGGCTCTGCTGTTCGATTTTCAAGGACGGTGATTCCCCGATCGGCCAATCTGAATGACTGCTTTACATAAGAGAAGAATGACCCCGACGGTGACTTTCAGCTTGATACAGCAATAATGACGGGGAACAAAGCGTAGCTACCTCCTGCAGTTAAGGGGTTGCATGTTGCGCCCCACCCTAATCGGTGGTGGTCACGGAGTAGGGTGGGGCCGCCAGTGCGGGGGCCGGCCAACACAAATACTGAGCATTTTGCCAGTAATCTGCTTCCCCCACCCCCATCGCGAGCGCTGGCCATAGACACTGCTGATACGTTTGTTTTCTGCTAAAGACGGTACTCTTTCTTATGGGCAAAAACAGAGAAATGATTTTGGATGGGATTCAGGAAGAGGATTCTCTAATAAGCCCCTCTCAATTGGAGAATGAATGTTAAAGGTCACAAGTTCAGGACTTCAATCCTGTAGGATGCTGGGCCCTGGAGCGGTATGTCATGGAAGTTGATGGAACTCTGTAAGGAAAGTTGGTAAATTCACTTCTTTTTTTTTTTTTTTTTCCCGAATAAATTCACTTCTTTAAACCACCAGTACATGGACCCAGCAAACGTGCGAATCAGAATTGAGCCTCTCCGAAAAAAAATGGAGGCTCGGGGCAACTTGACCGGAATGGCTGGCAGTACCAGCCCAAACAAAAAATGAAAATGCTGTGCTCGCATGTCGGCAAAGCTTGGCGTGCGCAGTGGGAGTCGACCTAATAATACAGATGAGGCACAGAAGATGGGCCTCGCTCCACTACTCACCACTTGCGCAAAAGACAAAATATGGCAGTGTATCTTTCCATGTCCTAGCAGAAGATTCATTCTTATTTTGCGCATTTGGTGTGTAGTGGAGCTTCCCATGTTCTAGCAGAAGATTCATTCTCATTTTGCGCATTTGGTGAGTAGTGGATCGACCCCTGATGTTCAAAATGGGAATTAAAAACAGACAAATGATGTCTGAATTTCTCCGAAATGGGATGATGTAATTTGATGAAACATTTCTTTTCTGGAATAGAATGCCTGTCGTTCGGAACATCCGTTAAAATTGGAACAATACAGAGAAGATTAACATGGCCCCTGCACAAGGAAAAAAAATAAAAAATGCCGGTCATTATCTGCAGTCAGACTCGTCTCGATGTCACGTCAACATGCATACATGCAGATGCCGATGGCAAAATAACTTCCTCAAAGCAGAATCAGCAAAAAGCTTGAGATGGCGCAGTGCACCCCACACAGAAAACTCATGGATATGGCCTTCGGCCAGGAACTCGGCTCAGGACAACTTGTCACACATCTTGCGGCGGTGGCATCTGAGCGCCAGTCTGAAATTCCCACCCGAACACTGTATCCACCATCAGACACTCACACGCACGTACGCACACAACACTTGGATCTACCCTGAATGTCTGCATTCACACACACTATCTTCTATGTTCTACCTTCTATCTTCTACACATGGGCTGCTATGGCCGCTGTCGTCTTCCTCCTCCTAGCGGCTATGGCCGCTTGCCCTCTTCAACCTGAGCTCTCCTGCTGACCACCTGTGACTCCACGCACAAGACACTCAATGTTGCATACCGTATAGGTGCAGACCAGAACAAGAACCGACCTTTCAATACAAAGTATAAGATAGCACAGCGGAAGACTTAGATACCAATGATCCGAACAATCAATATTGCAATGCAGCCCCAAACATACATCATCATCATCATTCCATGGTGTGAAGGGGTCTGGCGCTTCACACAGGAAGACTGCGCCAGCCCCAACCATACACAGACGAAGGAGATGGGGGTTAGACGAAGAAGAGGGGAAGATGGGAATGTCGTCAA